CTGTCTTTCCTAAAAAGCACATAGGAAAGAAGGAAGGAAGGACGGACGGACGGACTTTTCAAATCCAATCTTTCGCTTGTTTCTTTTGGTGAATGATACAGGATCCTTTGTGAAATGCTGAGGGTACCTGTACAGTGACAACAAGCAACACCAGAAGGGATTTCTGGCTCTAAAAGAAAGACAGTCAAGATGTGTGGTGAACGAAAAGAAGATATAAACCTCTAGGAAGGAGGAGAGGGGTGAAGTTCTGTGCCAAAATGAGCTTTCTCTTCACCTCTCATATAATGCAGAGTCAAACGCCCAAAACAAAAGGTGAGTTTTTTTGACCTGCGATTATTTTCAGAGTTAGTAATCTTGATAGGATTGGATCTAAAATCACAATAAATAAATTACACTAGGGAGAATTAAAAGGCTTGTTAATGCCAAGATTCCTAAGGCAACTTGGACCTTGAGTAAATAGACTTCAAGACTAATGGAAAATTTTATTTTCTCTGAAGAAAGCAGAGCTGTGAAATTCATATAAAATAATACAAGAAGCCAAATCTTTCCTGGACTTAAACAGCGAAGGAATCACATTTTGCCTAATTTAGAAGTGAAGAGATAGGTTCTAAGGGCAGTTAGTGCATTACAGCACTGACAAGCGCTCTCTCCTTCAGTGTCATCTGCTGTATTTGACAGTAAAAGGATTTTTCTCCGTCACTGACTTATCTAGGTATATCACACCTATTACTAAGTTCATCCATGCAACCCCAGTCTGATTTAAAAAAAAAAAAAAGGTGATGGGAAATGCAATGATATAAACAAGGTGTCATATATTGGAGAATCAGATTTTTTTCAGTCCCATTCATACACCTTTACTAAAAGATCCCCTCTCCTCTCTGGGAGATGAAAATACAGCACCTGGGAAGATCCACATCCAACCAAACCAAAGCATCATAAACTTCTTTGGCCTTCTGAACACAGTCAGATAAATGCATACATCCTGGAGCTCCCTGACAGAAAGAGCTGAAGGAAATTTCCACTTTTGGGTTATCCGCTTAAGATATTTTTACTTGTTTGTCTAGCCTTCTACAGTAAGACACAGATATCAGAGGCAGAAAGCAAGAAGATTTACACTGACGAAAATAGAGATAGATTCTTCTAGAATTGTTTCTGAACTACTTCTCTAGTCTACACAAAATGCGTAAAATAGGCACGTACTTGCTAGCTGGAGGGCTCTGTGAATAGCAATAGTATCAGAGGTGAAGAAAAGTGATTCAGTAGTATGTCCGGCCAAGGGGAGAGAGCATTTCAGGAAAATGACTTCCAAATACAGGCAATAACATGAATGCTTCAGAGCACGGGATGTCAAAGTATATTTTAGCACAGCTTTCCAACAGCTTCACTACTATCAGAATGAGCTTTTTGAGCTTTCTGCCAACACATGAAATGAAAGACCGTACGTGGGGAAAAAAACGTATTTTGATGAAGATTTTGTTCTCTGCCACGCCACAGAGAGAAAACAGATTTTTTTTTTTTTGCTTCTAACAACATTCGATAGCCTGAAAATGGTTAACTAACAATGCTAAAATCTGTATATAAAATGTAATTCAGTTCTGTAATTGTATTTCTTATGCATGGAGACAGAAATAAACTAGAGGAAGAACCTATTGCATGTATAATTGAACACGTCTGATATTACTAGGTAACCTTTCTAAGTAACTGGCTCTGAGTTTATGCAAAGAGGTGAACACTTCGAATACATAAATAACAATAGGAGCAGATATGCTTTTGATTTTGTATTCTGCTCTTTTCTTGTTCGTGTCTGTTAGATGCAGTCAGACATCCCTGGCTTTATTTGGCCATCCGTAGAAACATCTGAAAGATCTGACTTTTGCATCATTTGGGTGCAGTAATGAATAAGAGCTGACATCAAATATCAATATTATTGGCCCAGCTAAATGGTAGCTGACATCAAACCGGACTGCTGAAGAGGTAAACAAAATTGAAATTTTGTTTTTGTGTAAGAACTGCCTGACATTGTTTGTCCTTTGGTAAATCAGTGGAAGAATGACCTAAGTGCTGTTTGCCTTTTGGCTTGGGAAGGTAATATTGGGCAGCGGTTACCAACTGTATTTCCTATAGCCATTCAGGTTTTTCTAATATAACCTATCATTCCAAAAATACTTTTTGTTTTGGGAAGCTTAGTAATCTCTGTAATGACTTCTTACCCTGCAAACGTCACACAAACATGGTACGACAGATACAAACAAGGACAGGTGAATGATAATCGCACTCTGATTTCAACACAAAAACATACATACACACAGACTTATGGGAGCAAACTTTGTTCTGCTTTAAATTTGTGATGATTCAACCAAGCACCTGTATTCTTTGTATATATATTCGATAGTCTTCATTAGCACGTGGTGATTTGCCAAGCTGGAAGAATGCTGTGCAAAGGACGTGCAATACTTACTTCAAATAATGCTATTTAGGCCATAGTTAGATTTCATATTACACAATAGAAAAGGTTCGTCAGCATTCAAGAACAGATCACCGTACCTTATATGCAATGTATCGTGTGAAAGTGCATTGTTTTCTTTTAGTCGGTGATAAAGAAAATTTACTGATGGGAAAACATTAGTGGTTTGAGTTTTCATCTTTGCACGAATTAGGCAGATGCATAACTGTTCTCTTTTGGAACATTTAAGATAACAGTAGCCCTTTCAAAGCGCCCAGTTTAGTCTGTGTTATGAGTCTCTGAGAGAGGAGGAGGAGTCCAGGGCTGACCTCGACATCTTGCCTTGGCCTCCAGAGGTAGCTGAGTTGGTGCTCAAGCTCCTTCCACCACCTTTTGCTCACCATGAGCCTACATCCATGCCATCGTATGGAACCCAATGATTACATGGGCTCACCTCAAGCCCCTGTAACGTTCAAAAATCTGGGAAATTATTTTGCCTCTTAGGTCCAGCCTCCCTTAGTTATCCCCAGAATAGGCATTTTGGCTTTCCCAGGTGGGGTATATGCACAGAGATATTGAATCTTGAGCTGCAGTCAGTCCGGTGTGACTCTGAGCATCCACTTGGAGCCTTTGAAGGCAATTTAGCATATGTACAGCAGCTGCTAAAGAAACACCCTTATAAACACACTTGTATTTTGGTACTCAGTGAAAAGGCTAAGCCCTCTTAAATATTTTTCTTATAATAAAACAATTTTTTTGTTGTTACTCGTGTGACAGGTATGCGGGAGTAAAAGGAACCTTAACATTAACTTCAAGAAGGAAAGACACATTTTTCTACGTTTCTTCAGTTCCAAAGCAGCTATGCAGATTTTGCTGAAACTTTCTGAAACCTTCCACAGGCACAGAACTAACTTAGAAAACTGCAGAAGTTTACATACTGCTGAAAATGGTATCTTTTAACTCCTGATACAACCAGAGCTACAGAAGTTACAGCGGAATACCTATCAGGGCAGTGCGAGTATAAGCTATGTTCTCCAGAGAGCATACGCCCCAGCAAGGCAGCCTGGAATAAATGGCCAGATGCTTCAGGTGCCAAACTGGCAGTTATGTCCTACGGAAAACCTGCTAACTATCGAGTCTGAACACTATTAAGAATTCTGGCTTTAAACCCTACACACTTGGCAAAAACTGCTAACTACAGTTGCAGTAGACTGGTATAGTACTAACTCAGATTTAATCAGGTTCAGAGAGTTTAATGAGAATTTACTCAATCTGTATAAATGCTATGTTCTTTTTTTTTCTTCATGCAATACTTTCTCCCAAACACGGCCCTTAATTTTCAGACACACTGCTGGCTCTCTGATCTAACTGCAAAATGTGTTATTTTTTCTTATAGTCTTTGTACAGCAGAGCATATTGGGTAACTAGAAATTCATGCACTTTCAAAACTCTTTTAGGACCCAAACTATCACAAGCACTGAAGTGACTTAAGAGCCCACGTAGCCTTATCAGCCTTAACAAGCCGTTTGATCGAAATATAACACTGGTTTCAGCCAACCAATGTGACAACTGTAACTTGTGCATCTCAGTACCAAATGCTGAGCTTTTGCAGTAGTTTTCCAGCACCTACACCGTTAATTTACATAACAGCAAGTACAGCTTCTGAAATTATATTCTTCACTCAGTTTAATCAATGCTGCACTGGATGTTTCCATTTTTACTAATTCAATCATTGAGAATGTCAACCAATCATTTTAGCCCAGAGTTTAATGCCAACTATAATATTCTTTATCAAAATAACGTGCTTATCTGGAAGACTATCAGCATACAGTCTTTCAGCTTCCTGTTAATCATTATAGGTCACAACAGAGCATGAGGCTTTTTGTAAATACTCAGGGTAACGTCAGTGCTATACTATTGCTGGCTCTAGTAAAGCCTTCCCTTGCAATTCTTGTTATTGTTAAATATTCTGTTTTTTCTATACCATCACGTTTCGAAATACTGAGGGGCAGGTTGTGCCTTTCAAATATACAAACAGAGTATGGGGTAGAAAAAGAATTAAGGTAACTGGGGAGTTCCCATTCCCCAACCTGAAGTAAGCTAATGCCACACTTCAAGCTAGGTCAACCCCTAGGCTTGGCATTTTTGGGCATTTGGATCGTGGTCCATCACTAATCCTACCCAAAATGATTCCCTTTAGACAACAACAATTACAAAATTAACCATCCAGGAAAAAAAGCTACCAGGACACTTCATTCAAGTCAAGTAACTAAATGATCGTGATGAGGGAGAACGGCTAGACATCTTGCTCTGATCAAAACACAAAGGAGTTGGTCAAAAGGAGGAAGCAAGTTTATCATAACAGTCACTGGGACTCTCCTCAGGTCAGCACATGTGCCACAGTGAGCTGCTCTAAGAGCGACTGCTAACGCTGAATTCAGCTGTAAGGGTATCTCTTTCGCCAAACTGTATGACGGTATTTACCAGAGCAAGGAACATGTGGATAAAAAAGAAAAAAAAAAAAAAAGAGAGAGAAAAATTCGTATGCAGAGCTTACCTTCATGTTGAATGCAGCATGATTACAGGAATGCAGGTGACCATGCAAAGTGTGAGCACAGAGTCCCTGGAAAATTAACCATAAAAAAAGCAATTAAATAGGTTATAGTGATATAAATTACACTATACCCTTTCTAAATACAAAGACCTTGATTTTACAGCTATGTGCAAAACCAAGGCCCTTTGCGTGCTAAAAAACAGCTCCTGGCTGCATGGAAGAGGAACACATTTCTCACAATTACGAAGGCTTCACGTGATAGCTAGCAAAAAAGGTACAACGAAATATTGTAAAGGAAGACATCTCCCTCACAAGAGGGTTTGAATTAGGAGGTGTAACCATTGCTTCCAAAAGCCTAAGCTCTTGCTTAGGCCATGGTTCAGTTATGTTTCTTGATATTCCACCCACACTACTACAGCCTTCCTTAAGGAATCTCAAGCATGAAATCAAAATTAATTATCTTTTGTCATCTTCCACATTAGGCTGTAAGTGACCTACATAGAGCAGAAACATATGTCAGATGTCATCACTGATATCTGACTTGCTCTCCCAGCGCGGCAAGCATCCAACCGCAAGATCTCCTGCTTAAAAAAAAAGAGAAGTCTTCAAGATGTGAAGAGGTAGTAAGTAGATACACTTCTCTATTTTCACAAAAATCAGTTGTTTAATGATTAATGATTAATCATTCGTTTAATGGGGAAACAGTTAAAAAAAAAACTTTCTATTAAAAGCAAAACCCAGGTGTGAACAGTTTTCCCTTTGAGGAAACATTTACTGACAGAGGAACCGAGTGGCTGTTTGCTGTATTTTTCTGGAAACAAACAAGCAAACAAACAAAACCAAGGTGAGAAACTCCCCTACTCATCCCAGTAGTCCATCTTTGCACTTATTCCAGCTTGAATTAATTTCTCTGGAGCATGGATAACATACGTTCATCATACATCAGTCATGTTTTTACTGATGGTTTATACCATCAGTCTTATTCCACTTCTTTTTTCCAGTCCTCAAAAGAATCACTCCTAGTCTAACGTAAGGTATTTGAATCCTGTTCTTTATTGACAATGCCTTTTTCTTTTTTTTTTAATCAACAGTATATATTACGGCTTGTGACGAGTCCTTTCGTGAAAGTAGTTAATGGGATTTGTCCACAAATTCTTGAGGGTTACTACCTGACAATAACCTCTAGTTCATCTTACAATTCTGATCCGTTTAGAAGAGTTCAGTCCAACGTAACAACAGTTTAAGGGAATTAGACTGCTATGTATAAATACATCAGGGCTAAGAGCAGAGAGGGAAATTTAGCTGAAGAGGAGTGCTGACACAAGAACACAGGGTACTAATTATCGTCAGATAGATTTCAGCTGGAAATTAGAAGACAGCCCTAAATTAGAGAGATATGAAAACATCCCTGCACTCAAAGTAGCAGGGGTAAAAAATTCTCAGTAACTGTAAGAAGCAGCTTGAAAAGTCTAAAAAGGAGTGATCGTTTCTGACTGCGGTCTTCTACCCATACTTGGAGACCAAGGAGACTCCTTCCAGTCTTGTTCATATGGTATCGGAATGCCAATTGCTCACAAATGCCTCTCAGCATTGCTTTTATTTTAACATTGTCACCAAAAGGCTGCAAGTTACTTCATCAAACTCCATTGTGGTAAACTATTTGGTATGTCATCATATTTTTCATTTAACTTCCTGATTGAACTAATCTCTTCTGGAACACCACCTGTACTATTGAGATAAAACCCCAAGATCAGTACTATTGCCATGAAAGTCTTGCAAGACAAATATAAGAATAAGGAAAAAAAAAGGCTCTGGACCATTAAAACCATCCACCATCTATGTAAAGCAAACACAGCAAGCCAACCAGGTTCTCTGCAGTTAACAGCCTTTCATGGGAAAAAATGCCCTAAACCCCCCCCCCCCCCCCAAAAAAAAATCAGAACCATATTTAAATGGTTAATAAATAATCAAATTCAAACCAATAAATCCTGATAAAAAAAGAAAATTTGAATAATTATTATCCCATTATAAACTCACTGCTGGAACAGAGATGTGTTTACACAAAATTCCCAGGGAACATACTGATAGATAAATTAAATTTGATAAGGATAACAACAGAATAGGAGAAAAATATAGCCAAATACATACGAACAGTCTGGCAAGTAAAAAATTCAAGGACATAAAATATACCTTGTGAACTAGCAGTGTTATCAATCTGCTCAGTCCATGGTTATCAACCCAAATGTCAGTGCATGTTTTGCATGTAAAATATAACCCTTATAAAATAAGTGCTGTTGCTCAGCAGAGCGTAATATTTACCCTCAAACACTCTCAAATACCAACACACACACAGTAACCTTTCCACAAATACAGAAAAAGCACGCAAGCACAATCAAAAAAAAGAAAAAATACATGGATGCAGTACCACATAATAAATGGGAACTTTTTGACTTCCATTCCAGAAGCCAACGCAATATTAACCACCTGGAAAAGATAATAAATAATAGCAACAACAAAGACAGACAAAGGCAATGGTTCTATAAAGTGTTTCTTAATACTGTCCCTGTCAATTAACTTCCAAAGTGCCTCTCTGCACAGCTCTATGGTTGCTTCATCAGCACCATGAAGTCTGGCTTTTCCTCTCCTTGCGTACATAGATGCCACAAAAACAAAACTGCAAAGCTTTCTCCTTAGCTGTAATGTTCCATCACAATCAAGCAATAATAAATATTCTGCAGATCAGACCGCATGTTAAGAGAGTGCTGAGCTTTCAGTGTCAAGAGCTCAGCAGTAAGTTAATGATGCCACTTTTGCATAAGTATTCCGTTTTTCGATCATTAATTATAAAATCATCTATTGCAACATCGGGATCCCAGCTCTGTTCAGTGTGGAGCTGAACCAGGCGCCAAGAGGCTGAACCTCCCTTTGGGTGAAAGTCTGGAATATCTCCTCTTTGGGGGGACTGCACCGGAGCACCTTGCACAGCAGTCCTTGGCTTTTTAGTAGCTTCTCATCATCCAGAAATCACTGATAGGGATCCGCCGTTGATCTGAACTTCTCTGGGTTCAAGCCCAGCAGGGGCAAACTAGGACTTGCGTCATGAGGAAAAAAGTAGAAGAAAAAGGAGGAGTTGGTCTTAGTATTGCCGTTAGATGGGTTTGGAAAAACGATGTTTCTCTGACCCTACCGTCAAGGTCTCGCTGAGCAATATCCCACAAAGAAGATGACAAAACATCAGAGCAGAGCTCCGGAGCTCTGAAAAAGCACATTTTGTCATTTTTACCACACTCGCCCTATGGGGTCTACTCATTCTCCTCGAACATGACATCTCAGCAGTTGTAAAGGGCAATAAATGATGGTGAACTCATTATTATTGTTAACTGAGTCATCAGGTCTTGACTGAAATATTAATGGAGGGAAATTCCATCCTACTCACTCGTGGAGCTACTGCCCAATTACATTAATAATCATATGTTCTTCCATTGCAGAAAATAGCAACATTCAAAGAAAACAAAATAGGAAGTATTGTGCATTGTTTTTGTTTTTGGGTTTTTTTTTTTGAAGATTATTCACACATGTACACACACATATAATTTTCCATTTCGAAACCCCAAAATTACCATGAGAACCACCAGTTAGAAACACCACGACATTATACCGAGGAGCCTATCAACGCTTTGCTTCTGCTGAGCGCAGATATTAATCGCCTGCCTCAGACTAGAGGCATCCAAAAGGCGTCAAACACAGAAAATCAGTCTTTTTTTCAAATGGGCCACAACATAATAGAAAAGCTGCCTGACCTTTGGAAGTGTGAATCTGTGAACAATAAACCCGATGCAAAAGTAGCTAAACAAGGAGCTTAAATCCAAATGATCTTTTGCTCTTACTTTTACAGGATAAAGGCCAGAAATTTCTGAAGCTATGGTGAAATTCTGTTCTGAACCCTTCCTGTTGCACATTTATACAAGTATCAGGCCAAGACAGGATACGCTGAAGACAATTACAAGCTATATTCTGCATCTTCTTTGCATCTGTAAAATTAAGCTCAACCATTAACACTACTTTAGATCACAAATGAGCCCAAGCCCACCGGCAAAGCCAGGACACACCATCCAGGGAGGGGGAGAGAGAAATGTCTTTGTTGGATCTGTCATTCCTTTTAAAGAAAATAAATACAAAAAATAATTTAAAAAAGCCTCAAAGATATCAAGATTCTTTACCAAAAGTACACCTGCATTTTATTCCCCTGGTCTAGATGGGCAGATGACTTCTGCACCATCAACTGCTCCATCTTAAAAATGATCCACAGGGTGGGGACCATCCATCACCCTGTCATTCTGAGACGAGCCAAATCCGGTAACTGCTTCCTCCTCTCCGAAGCCTCTCCCAGTGTTTAAATGTCGCATCAAGTGCGGGATCAGTGGCGCGAGAGCAGCGACGCCAGGAAAAGCTCGTATGCAGGAGTTCATTAACCTTTGGCTTCAGAGAGTGAGGCGAGGCCTTTCTCCCCCGCGAAACGAGGTGGCTCCTTTTTACCATAACAAAAGTTATTATTATATTAAGTCCATGATCCCACACTTTGGAAAACGCGCCAAGCGTTTTCATGAGAGTAATGTTCAAATGACAGAAACATGATAGGACCGTCTAATACTGAATATTATGAACTGTTCTGTTTTAACCTAAAAAAGATCAAAAAGATCAATTACAAACGAGTTGAAAGTGCTGGTGGATATACCTGGCAAAGCGATGGAAGTTATGGAAAGCAGAGAAAACAAACTCAGAAGAATTTGTTTGGGGTTTGAAAATGAAATGACGCAGAAGCAGAGCAGCAAAGCATACATCATTTGCATATAAGGAAAAGTAAGGGGGCTATGAGAGTAACTCTTTTCCTTTCAAATTTCAAAGGTAGAAGGTCTGAACTTTAATTTTCCTGCTCAAAAAATCTTTACTGTTCTCTATTCAGAAATGAACATCACGTAGCCTGTAAGAGGGCTTTACAAGGTATGGAAAGTTGTTCACTTGTAGGAAGTTTAAGATAGCTATATACAGCTTCTACATAAGAACCTACC